TATGTGAAGATTGCGGACTTCGGCCTGTGTAAAGAAGGTGTGTGCGCGCCTGGCCGTGTCGCTCGGTCCGACGGCCAGTGTGTCCCGTCAGCTGGCTTGTCCCTCACTGCTGTCCCCTCTCTGCGTCAGGGATGGGCTACGGCGACCGGACCAGTACGTTCTGCGGGACCCCGGAGTTCCTGGCCCCCGAAGTGCTGACTGACACGTCGTACACGCGGGCGGTGGACTGGTGGGGGCTGGGGGTGCTGGTGTACGAGATGCTGGTGGGCGAGGTGAGGGGCCGTTTGTTTCTGTCGTCACGGCATTCGAGTCCCTGTGCTCCTCTCTCTTTTTGTCGTTTTCTGCGTTATTAACGTACTGCGTGGAACTGTCGGAGCCTGTGGAATTACAACCGTACCGACACGCTGCCTGTGTTTCAGTCTCCTTTCCCAGGTGACGATGAGGAGGAGGTGTTCGACAGCATCGTTAATGATGAAGTCCGTTATCCACGATTCCTCTCCACCGAGGCCATTGGCATCATGAGACGGGTGAGGTTCTCCCCTCGGCCAATCACAGGCCGGCCTTGTGCCGTCAGCCACCTAGAAAAGGCAAATCACACACCAGCTCCTGCTGTCGTGTCTCTTATTAAATGAGAACCCATTAGAAGAACTTAACAAAAGGTCAGAGATGAGAAGACGCTGTTCAGCACACTGAGTTTGCTTGCCAGGGATTTGTCCCGGGATCTTATCCAGCTGTTTCTGTTATGGGCTTGAGCCACACAGCTGGACCTCCTCTTGGCCTGTGGGGGGTGGCCGTGGTCCACTCATGATTATTGTGTCGTCCCACTGATGCACTGTGGGCACTGTCTGTGTGCAGCTCCTGCGGAGGAACCCAGAGCGCAGACTGGGCTCCACTGAGAGGGATGCCGATGATGTGAAGAAGCAGCCCTTCTTCAGGGTAAGCGTCTCACTGTCTAGCTCTCTCTCATCATCCTTGTTCGCTGTCTGTAAGCTCTCCCTCATTCTGCCCTCTGGTGTCTAACCTCTCTCTATCTCCGGGTTTGTGTGTCCACTGCCTGGATCTCTCTGCTCTCTTCCCTCTCTGATCTTTATTCCTTATCTCGTCCT